GACAGCCCTTACGTAAGTATGTTCCTATTCTAACAGAAGAAAAAGAACTTGACTGCAAAGCTATACCTTTATATCACTTCTGCTACTGAATTCAACAGTGCTCATGAAAACAACTAGCTTCCTTTTACAAAGCATCATTCCAACACCCAGTTTTAAATATACAATTTATAACAAAGCCAACTCACCATTTAATATAATAACACATTCCAGTAAGGCTTCGTAGTTCTCATTTTCATTTATTACAAATACAGAAGCAAGAATCACAGATGTAATTGCATATATTATTTCTATGCTTTTTCTCTATAAATGAGAAGTCAAAGCACGAGTGAATTAAAATCATCAACTTAAAATCAGTTTTTAGAAGAAATTTCAGTTACAAATTTCCTAAAAATCAAGTCACAATTCTAGCTTATTCTAAAAGAATTAAAGTTGAATACTAGTCAATCATCCTAAAAGAACAGCAATATTTAGTATTAAATTAATAAGAGTAGGGTTGCAAAGTGAACAAGACTACAACAAACAGACTGAACTAAAATTCTTAACTTCTAACTTCAAAATTTGTTTTAATGTAAAATTCAATGATACACAATAAACAGTTATTTTTTAACAAAAAAAGAGAAAAAATGTTGCTCATTTTTGAAAAACAAATACTACCATTTTTGAGCCATGTTCTGTTTCCATGTTATCTTCACCCTGGGCTTCCACTTCCTGCCACCCATCCACCGGGCTTTCTAACAACACATCTGTCAATAAATCCTTCAGTCTTTGCCATAATTCTTCTTTCTGTTTCCTTGATAATTCATCCAGTAATTCATTTAGGCTGAAAGGATCAGAGGCCTCTTTCTGTAACATAAATAGCAAGTGTCACATTTCAAATACAAAAAAATTAATTATATCCTTTTCATAATGTCATTAAAAGTTTAAACTTCATTACAAGTTCAAGAGTTGGTTGCAGTATTCAAAACCCATTCCTAAAAGGGAAGAAGCAGGGGGATTCTCCACCTATTCTTTTCTTGTATCCTAATCTTTGGAGTTTAAAATTTCACCCACTCAGGAAAACCTCCCCTAAATGGGACCCAAATGTCCACCATCTCCAAACTCAGAATTAGATTACAAAAGCAGGCTAAAGTTCAGTAACAATGGCAATAATAATACTGTGGCCATGGATTTCAGCCCCATGTGGGCCCTTGACACCACCTCCTACTCATCCCTCAATATCATTCTCTCCCACTAGCCAACAAGATGATTTCAGATCCCCCCTGAAAACCCTCTAAACCCATTTCCTCTTACTGAGATGACCTCGCCTCCTCTTTGATGGTGCGAATAGGGGCCCTCATCAAAAGGGCATAGAATACAGTTAAAGGGACTCCCTGTAGCCAAATTTGGGATAATGTGAGCACCAAATAGTGACAGTGATGAATTATAATCAATTGAATAAAGTAAGAATCAACGAGGCCAAGCCAGGTACTCTGAGAGAAAGGGCTGCAGTGAGCTATGATTGTACCATTGCACTCTAGCCTGGGCAACATAGCAGAAGCCTGTCTCTAAAAAGAAAAAAATCAAGGGGGACATACTGATAATAAATATCAAACCATTAATTAATAGCACCTGCATGCTCTAGAATGTCAGTGAATAACTATAGATGCAATACGGGGTTAGAAAATCCCAGTTTTATAGCCATCACAATAATTATGGACTCTGGCAAGAATTACCAGAAGATGCTAAAACAAGTGGGCAGAAGCCTGGTGAGCAACAGGACATTACAATGTCACCACTTTCCCACAGAGGAAGGCTCCCAGAAGAGACCTGGCAGACACCTACCCACACTGGGATGAACAGACCACGCCATGTACTTCCTGTCTTGAAAGCACCGAGGACCTAACACTGTTAAGCAGTTCCTGACAAAATGCACACTAAAATTTAATAAGATCCTCAACAGATGCAAAACAAAGGCTATGCCACAAAACAGCCACTCGTACTCTTCAAATCTATCAGAGTCATAAAAAACAGTAAGATGGGGAAACTAGAGTAAAGATATCTCATAAGCCCTCCATCCCTCCCTCTCCCTCTCCTCCTGCTCTCCTAGCTCCTCACCTGCCCTGGTGTTTGTTTCCTCCTCTTAGCACTCCTCCATCTTTCATCTAGCTCTTTTTCTGCCTCCACTTGTTTACTTTTATCTCCTCTCTTCTCTCCTTTCCTTGATCCTCCTCCCCTTCATTTCTCCTCTCCCTTTTCCTTAGCCCTTTGCCTGTCAATCATGTGCAAACAGACCAGCTCTCAAATTTTTGACCTTAGACAGTGTCTTGATCTGCCTATAGACAAGACATTCAATCGTGAACAGTTGAATAATTCTTTATGCCTCAATTATGCAAAAACAACAAGTTAATGGCCCATTTAAGTCCATTAATGGTAATTTTCTAGTACATTAATGGACAGTTTGGGTGCTGGGGTCCTAGCCTGGGTAACAGATTATAGCTGCTGTGTTCAAAGATCAAGATGTTCTTTCTATTTAGGGCAAACTGGTGACTGAAGGTGACCAGTGAAATGACTGTGCTGATTCATGATGCTTACATGAGGAAATATTAGTTGACTGATGGTTAGGGCACAGAGATGAATCAGATCCCACCCTGCCCTGAGTAAGCTCACAGTTTAGGGGCAAGAATAACACCCAACAGACTGTTAAAATCTATTAGAGGTATATGCTGAAGGGTATAGCCTGAAGGAAAAGAAATAGCTGCCCATCCACCTGTGTGACAAACTAGGATGGGCTGCTAACTCCTTCCTGAAAAATCAGGCTGGAAGAAATGAGAGTGAGACAGGTTTCAGTAACAAACAACAGCAACAAAATGAGACACACACCCAGCTTCACTGAAGGCTGTCTGGAGCTGGGGATGTGAGAAATGAGTGGCTGTTGCCTAGGACAGAAGAGAGCTGGCTGGAAGGGCAAGGAAAGGATGAGGGACAAAAGGTGTTCAAATATCAAAATGTTCTACCTCTCCCCAGAGTGGCCTTGGGGTGGTCATTGCCTGGCACTGCCACATTCGCAGTGACAGCCCAGGCCTCGAGGGCCATAGGACACTGGGCAAAGGCAGGGCAACACAAAAGCCCAGCAGTTAGGAAGAACACATGCAGACTAGTGAGCTGCCTGTGGGCATCCCTCCACAACCTCCTCTAGCACCAGGCCGCAGAGTTGTGCAGCCCTGTGCTGCACAAAGTGTACGAGGCTGAGGCGCCAGTCGGGTGGAAAGCCTGCAGGGCCTCTCCTCCCTATGTGAGTGCCTTGGCCACCTGTGCCCAGCATGGGTGCCTTTTTGTAGGCTATATGCCCAGAGGGAACTATTCTCTTGTGATTGGCACAAAGTGTATGAAGCAGGGGAAGTCTTGTTGCACAATAAAAAAAAACTTGGTAGCATAAAGCAACAATTTTACTGTATCTCATGAATCAGATGCTCACTCTTAGGGTCTCATGTCTGTGCTTAAGGTGGCAGCTGGGTGTTGAATGTCTGGCACTTTGGTGCCCACTAATGAGGTCTCAACCTCCAGCCTTTGCGTGTGGTCTCTCTCTCCAGCAGGGAGTGATCCTGAACTTCTTACATGACAACCAGGGGCTCCAAAGAGAAGTAGAAGCTGCCAAATTTTCTGAATGCCACTTCTTCAATATTCCGTCCATCAAAGCAGGCACAAGCCCAATTCAGATTCAAGAGGAGAGGACATAGGCTGCAGAGGTTTATTTAACAGGATTATCCGCAATGTTAAATTTCCCAATTTTGAGGATTTTAATATGGTTATATAACAGGATATCTTTAATTTAGAAAAACACAAACTGAAACGTTTACAGATAAAGAGGCACAATGCCTGCAACTGATTCGAGTGATTTTAAAAAATGTAAATGCAAAGAATAATAAAGAAAATGTGGCAAGTGGTAAAAACTGGTAAATCTGGGTATAGGTTATTCAGAAGTATTCATGATTCCTTTGAATTTCTCTTCCAGCTTTTAACTTAGCAATTATTTCAACAGGAAAGAAATTACTTCTCCACCCTAACCCTGCCACACTGCTCCTCCTCCTTAGTAAGTCCACACCCTTAGCTTCCCAAGTGTGCCCTGCCTCAGGGTCTCAGCCTTTCCCATTCCTTTTGTCTAGAATCTTCTTTTCCCAAATCTCTACATGGCCCATTTGGATCTCTGATCTTATCACCTAGTGATGTCATGGCTACCAAAACATCATAGTTTTTTTTTGTTTTTTTTTTTGATCCGTGGTTTTCTTTTTAATTATCTTAAGTCTTATGATCACACATCATTTTTAAATTTGTGTATATCTCCTCTACTTTAATCCTTTTAAGTTGGCAAAAGCACCATTCCCAATCACAAATACACAGCAGTTGTACAGTTTTGTTTCTGAATGGCTGTTTAAAGACAATCCTAAGTTATAACTTAGTTTGACTTATATTGTAAAGAATCCAAGAGTGAAGTTTAATTGGCTACTATTTTAAAAGCATGTGACCTTATAGATCATCTATAAAATGTGTGAAGTGTTAAATAATTTTTGATATTACACATAAACCACACAAAATGCCTTTCAATAAGTAAAAGGAACCATTTTAAATACAGGAAATTCTAATTAGATTGGCATAGTTAAGGCCAAAAATATAAAATAGCCATTGCTACCCATTTATCTTGCCTTTAAGAGGCAAATGAACACAAAACACAGGTGAATCTCGCTTGGTTCTGAGACAGTGAAGGAATTTCCCCCATATTTAAATATATTCACATAACCAGTTATATAAATCTAAATATAAAACCAATCTCCAGTAAGTTTTAAGATGGCACTCACCATCTTTGCAAAAAATTTAACATTACTAACGAAGTCTAATCATATCTTTAGAAAGGGTAAACAGTGACAGAACTTACTAAATTGGAATTACTATTAAAATCCAAAAACTAAACATACTCATTTAACCACAAGCCAGTCTTAGTTTTAAATCAGGTCTGCCCAAAAAAATATTCTGTCAGTCATTCATGATGTAAATTCTGGTGTATGAGATCTATTAAAGTATGGTACACATAAAAAAGTCATGAGACATTTGTTTTGTAATAAATAAGGCAATGGCCAATTATTACTCATTAGCAGATTTTTTGAGATAAGCTATTAAGTCTTCCTTTTCTCCCTTCTTCTTAATGCCGACAAAGAACATTTTTGTTCCAGGGATATACTTCTTGGGATTCTTCAAATATTCCATCAGTGTATCCTCTCCCCAGATGATGCCTTTGTTCTTATTGGCTTCAGTGTAAGTGAATCCAGAGGCCTGACCTGTCTTCCGCCCAAAGATACCATGGAGATTAGGTCCAGTCTTGTGCTTGCCTCCCTTTTCCACGGTGTGACATTGGGAACACTTCTGAATAAAAATCCTCTTGCCTTTCTCAACATCACCCATATTTAATTCTTTTTCGTGGTTAGCGCAGCAAAGGTTACCGCTCAGAAGCCGGATGTCCCACTCTCTCCAAAACATCATAGTTTAAAAGATTAATCACTTTGTAGTAATGACTAATCTTTTAATCTTTTAAAGTTTGTGGCAATGTTGGTGTAAACAAACCTATTTTTTTTATCATTGTTTCAAAGTGTATTCCTTTCACATTGTTTTTTTAAGTTAACTGTAAACTAGCCTTAGGCAGGTGCTTCAAGAGAAATTCCGGAAGAAAACACTGTTATCACAGGAGATGATATGACAGCTGCATGTCTGTTATTGCCCTTGAAGACCTTCCACTGGGACAAGATGTTATGGTGGAAGACAGTGATATTGATGATCCTGACTTGGTATAGGTTCATGCTAATGTGTGTGTTTGTGTCTCAGTTTTTAACAAAAAAAAGTTTAAAAGGTAAAAATAGATGGCCAGGCACAGTGGCTCACGCCTATATTCCCAGCACTTTGGAAGGCCAAGGCAGGTGAATCACCTGAGGTCAGGGCTTTGAGACCAGCCTGGCCAACATGACAAAATCCCGTCTCTACTAAAAATACAAAAATTAGCCAGGTGTGGTAGCATGTACCTGTAATCCCAGCTACTCAGGAGGCTGAGGCAGGAGAATTGCTTGAACCCAGGAGGCAGAGGTTGCAGTGAGCCGAGACAGTGCCACCGCACTCTAGCCTGGGCAACAGAGCTAGACTTGGTCTCAAAAAAAAAAAAAAAAAAAAAAAGAAAAAGGCAGGGGGGAAGAGAAAAAAGCTTATCAAATAAGAGTATAAAGAAAGGATTTTTAGCAAAGACATGGAATCAACCTAAATGCCCATCAATGATAGACTGGATAAAGAAAATGTGGTACATATACACCATGGAATACTATGCAGCCATAAAAAAAGAATGAGATCAAGTCCTTTGCAGGGACATGGATGGAGCTGGGGGCCATTATCCATAGCAAACTAACACAGTTTAACAGAAAACTAAATATACCATGTTCTCACTTATAAGTAGGAGTGAAATGATGAGAACACATGGACACAGGGGGAACAACACACACTGGCCTATTGGAGGGTGGAGGGTAGGAGAAGGGACAGGATCAGGAAGAATTAATGGGTACTAGGCTTAATACCTAGGTGATAGCCGGGCAAGGTGGTTCACGCCTGTAATCCCAGCACTTTTGGAGACCAAGGCAGGCGGATCACCTGAGGTCAGGAGTTTGAAACCAGCCCGATCAACATGGAGAAACCCCGTCTCTACTAAAAATATAAAAATTAGCCAGGTGTGGTGGCACATGCCTGTAGTCCCAGCTACTCGGGAGGCTGAGGCAGGAGAATCACTGGAATCCAGGAGGCAGAGGTCACGGTGAGCTGAAATTGTGCCATTGCACTCCAGCCTATGCAACAAGAGCAAAACTCCATCTCAAAAAAAAAAAAAAAAAAAAAAAAACCTGGGTGATGAATAATCTGTACAATAAACCCCCATGATACAAGGTGACCTATGTAACAAACCTGCACATGTACCCCTGAATATAAAAGTTAAAATAAAATAAAGATTTTTTCGTAAAGCAAAATGAGTTTGTGTTTTAAGCTAACTTACTATAAAAAATTTTTAAAGTTTAAACTTTTTTAAAATTTATCAATTAAAACAATTACAGTAAGCTAAAGTTAACTTATTAGTGGAGAAAATGATTTTTATAAATTTACTATAGCCCGAGTATAACGTGTTTATAGTTTATAGTAGTGTACAATGAAGTATTAGGTCTTCATATTTAGTCACGACTCACTTAATCAAAGAACAACTTCCAGTTCTGCAACCTCCAGTCATAGTAAGTGCCCTATTCAGGTGCATCATTATGTTTTATGCTGTATTTTTACTGTACCTTATCCTGTTTAGATACGCATTTACCATTGTGTTATAATACTGTGCCTACAGTATCCACTACAGTGTAGGTAACACCCACAGGGGCACCAAGGAAGAACTGTGCAGACTACAGTCACAATTAGTGCCTGAAATATAACCCACTGCTTATTTATATCTAGCTTATATATATAATCACACCTAGTCCCATGTAATCTTTCTATATAATCATATAACTCACTGCTTACTATACTAGCTTATATATATAATCACACTTAGTCCCATATAATCTTTCTATATGATCATCTAACAGATGTAGTCGGAGCTGTACTGACACATTTAGTGCTGATTTATAGAATCCTTCTGTAGAACCATATAGTAGTTTGTAGTAGGAGGAATGCCCAGAGCAGTCACAGAACAGAAGCAGTACGTAGGAAAACAGCCAGACCAGGACAAGAACCAAAGACCCAGGCGGTGGCATCCCTGCCTGAAAGGGCATACGCTGTATGGCAGGCTTGGAGCAAGTGCTTCTCCTCCTGATAAAGGAGTTGTAGTACCTTGCATGAAGTTCCTGTGTAAAGTAGGCCTCAATCCTGAGATCCCGCAAATAGCCGAGGGAGAAGAACCCCTCTGGTGTGACCAGTCACGGCAGCTGTACACCCTGTCAGTCTTTTTTCCCTTCTGTGCTAGCTCAAATCATCCTCCCATAAATATCTTAAGAGAAGAGCACAAGTCTGTCAGCTCCCACTGCATTGGCTTACAATATCCTTCTACTGTATTAGAAATCCTCTGAAGTTTCCAGCCCCCAGATAAGAAGTGTTACGCACAACACCTGTTGCACACAGCCCACCTCACTGCCTCGGTGACCTAATGGGGGTGGACCCCTTTTCTGTACAGGAACCTCTACTACCGCATGGCACGGCCTCCTACTGCACACGGCCCACCTCTCTGCCCAGGTGCCATAATGGGGTGGCCCCCTCGCTTGTGACTCATGTGATTATGTATGCCCTATCACTAAGCCTATAGATGATGACCTCACACATGACCCTGCCCCCTGCTTGTACCTAATAAATACAGATGCTTCTGGGCATTCGGGACCTTGCCTGTCTCCGCTCATAAGTGGCATGGCCCCCCGAGTCCAGCTGCTCTTCTCCATTTCTTCAGTGTCCTGTCTCTTTACTTCTCGGATCCTGCACCTCAGCATAGCATAAGGGACACCCCACAACCCAGTGGGGCCAACAGCCCTACAGTACAGTAACGTGTTATATAGGTTTGTAGCCTAGGATGGTACTGTACCATCTAACCCAGGTGTATAAGTGGGCTGCTCCCAACTGGGTATATGTAAGCACACTTTAGGATAGTCACACAACAATGAAATTACCTAATGACGCATTTCTCAGGACATATCCTCAGCAAGAATCACTTGACTGTACCAGCTCTGATCAAATATCTCCTCTGAGGTTTTCTTTAGCCACTCCATCATTCCCAACTTCTACTGGCTTTACTAGTAGTACTTAGTAGCAGTATCTTTTTGGTTTTTTTTTTTTTTTTGAGACAGGGTCTTGCTTTGTCACCCAGGCAGGAGTGCAGTTGCACAATCATAGCTCAATGCAACCTCAAACTCCTGGCCTAAGTGATTCTCCTGCCTCAGCCTCCCAAGTAGTTGAGACTACAGGCACAAGCCACTACACTTGGTCAATTTTTTAACATTACTGTAGAGACGAGTTCTCACTATGTTGCCCAGGCTGGTGTTAAACTCCTGGCCTCAAACGATCCTCCTGCCTCAGCCTCCTAAAGCTCTGGGATTACAGGCATGAGTCACTGCACCCAGCCTCTACGTGCTTCATTATTTATATATGTGTCTTGTTTTTCTTCCTCTACCATTAGAACATAAACCCCCATTTGTGCAGAAACTTTGCTTTGTGTGTACTACAACCCCAACTCTCAGTGCAGTGTCTGGCATACAGAAGGCATTCAGGACATGTTTGTTAAATGACGGAATTCTCCTCAGTGCTGTGTCCCACTCCCCGTCACTGATTCTCCAACAAGGACAAGGGCACACGGTATAATCAGTTCTGCTGTGCATCACGTGGTTTCATCAAGCTGACAAGAAATTTAACCAGGTGAATGCAGAAAACTGCACCCATTGACTGGAGTCACCAGGATCCCATGAAACATATCTCAGACACCTAGCAGCTCAGTGCATTCACACCTGGGCCACTCATTGTGCCCCTCACCCACTATGACCCAAAGGCCCCACCCCACTTCACTGTGCTCTCCCCAAGCCCACGGTGCTCTCTAATGCTCCCGATTCCCCTCTGCCTAGCTTCCCTTTTTCCCCTCTGTTCTACCTCATTTTCTTCCTCTTAAGCACAGAGGAGCAGGTGTACCCTGGAAGCATAGGCACCCACTTCCAACTATAGAATTTAAATATTTTTCTTTCTTTTTTTTTTTGAGACGGAGTTTCGCTCTTGTTACCCAGGCTGGAGTGCAATGGCGCGATCTCGGCTCACCGCAACCTCCACCTCCTGGGTTCAGGCAATTCTCCTGCCTCAGCCTCCTGAGTAGCTGGGATTACAGTCACGCGCCACCATGCCCAGCTGATTTTTGTATTTTTAGTAGAGACAGGGTTTCACTGTGTTGACCAGGATGGTCTCGATCTCTTGACCTCATGATCCACCCGCCTCGGCCTCCCAAAATGCTGGGATTACAGGCGTGAGCCACCACGCCCAGCCAGAATTTAAATATTTTTCAAGCTAAATTGCCATGCTTACTATAGTATTTATGTATTTCTTAGTGATTTAACATATAAAATTATGCTACTGTTTTATTAGGTTCCTATCTGTTTTTAACGTGTTACTGGCAAAATTTTTCAGTGTTGCCCCCCAACCTCCATTTTCCCCAAAATCTCTGGGTTTTTCTAACCAATTCTGCAGAGTGCAGTGATTGCTGGCAACGCATGTGTGCGACTATAGCAGAACTAATCGTACTTGGAGAGGTTTTCCTGATAAGTCTCAAACTGATTTAAGTTCTTATCAAATTGAACTATGGGAAAACATCGTAATTATATAAAATGACATTTATGTCATTCAACTTGATGAAACCACGTGATGCACAATCCTACACATTTTCATTTTTACCTTTAAGAGCTACACAGTGACTAGGTACTAAGCTGAACCGTTAAGTGTCAATAAAGCGTATTATTGATAAACTAGAGTTAACGCCTCATTAGTATAAGGACTAATTCAGAATTCTCCTGAGATGTCTGCTGGCCGTCCAGCAACACTGCAAAGGCTGGTTGGCACACAACAGGGGTGGCTGGAAATGAAGCACACCAGAAGGGCACTTGTCATTGTGACTACCAGTGTGATTTTGACTTACTATTTTTACCTTTGATTTTCAATTTAGTTTGCTGTGATTTTGTTAACATTATGGTATGCACTTTGCAACAGCAATCTTTTAGACTTTAAAATGTGTATATATTGCATTTCCAGTACAAGCTATATACACTGCTACTGCTAAAGCAGACATTTATATAATATCTAAATAATTTGCTCTTATAAACACTTCTATGGTGACAAGATGCCTGTGAATTTGTGTTTATTTTTAAGTTTACAGGGTATCATTTTATAATACCAAAACATATAAGCTCATTTCTCTTATAAAGAAAGCCAATTTCTTAAATGTTACTACAGGTATTGATCGACTAACCATCTACGCAACTTGTGACCATTCGACTTTACGACCACAGTCGCTAGCCACGACTGCTCCGCGTCTGGCAGCGCAAACGTTGCCCAGCTGGGCGTACAACAGTGCGGACCAGCTTCTGGCAGCACTACCATCTCCGCATGCACCATTTCAATTGTATAAATAGCCTACTCAACTTACGACTAAATCATGTTATGACCAGTCCACGGTCCTGACCGTGGTTGTAAGTTGAGTACTAGCTGTAGTAACAAATTCATTATTAGATTCTTCTCTAAGTATTTGTTGTCACTAGTTTGATTTTCACCACATAAGAAAAACAAGTGAGACAAGTATGCTAAGGGTCTTCTGCCCCAAAGATACTTTTGTATTTCTTTTTTTTTTTTTTTTTTTGAGACGGCGTTTCACTCTTGTTACCCAGGCTGGAGTGCAATGGCCCGATCTCGGCTCACCGCAACCTCCGCCTCCTGGGTTCAGGCAATTCTCCTGCCTCAACCTCCTGAGTAGCTGGGATTACAGGCACGCACCACCATGCTGACCAGGATGGTCTCGATCTCTTGACCTTGTGATCCACCCGCCTCGGCCTCCCAAAGTGCTGGGATTACAGGCTTGAGCCACCGCGCCTGGCTACTTTTGTATTTCAGAGTCAGTGCCTCCAACGCTGGCTTCCTCAGAGCTCTGTCCAAGGCCCTTTTCTCCAAAACAGTAGAGAGATAACTGCAGGCATTCCCACAACTTAGGTTTCCATGCCCAACCTGCGTCTAGCCCAGGCCTTTCCCCTGGTATTCAGACGTGCAGGTCTGACTACCGGCCATCTGTTGGTGAGCATCCCACCAGCAGTCATCTGCCACCTCCAAAATGGAACCACCTTCTCCCTTGAATCCACCCTCTTCCCACAATCAAGAGCTTGCTGAATGGTATTACACAGTCAGATGCCTGGGCCCCTCCCCATATCCAAGCAATCCAATAATGCCATCACTGTACTTCCAAGCAGCTTCCCATTTCCAGTTCCTAATTCAACCATCTTTATGAAGAGCAGGACCTAAGAGGTTAGTCTCTTAAATATATCCCTTTGACATACTTTTCACTTGCAGCCAAAGGAATATTTCCAAAAAGCAAACCATATTTTTCTCCTTACCTCTATTTTGTCCACTAGTTCTCTCTCCTCTTTTGCTCTCTTTCTCCCTTGCCTACAGCTGACTCCCTGCTTCAAGCACCTGGTAAAGGCCCGCATAGCCTATCCACTAGCCTCATCCTCTGCCTTCCTGCTGAACTTCAAATTCAAACACAACAAGCCTTCTCTAGTCCTCAGAGTAACCTTCTTAGTCAGACGGGTCCTTACCCATAACAGCCCTCTTTGACTGGTTAACTTCTGTTTATCTTTTATATCTTAGCTTAGCCCACCAGCAGGTAGATTTGAGTATAAAGGGTTTGGTTTTCTTCTTTCAAATAAACATTGGTCTCTAAGGATTCACTGAGATAACTATGTTTTGTTTGGAGACATAATGATTTTAGAACATATTTCATATTCACAGTCAAAAATCACAACAAAACTAAAACATGAAACTTACATCAAGTTGAACAAATTGCAGAAACTCTCCAACCAGCTCCTTAGACACGGCTTGTACGAATGTCTCACGTTTTTCCATGACAGATGGAACTGTTCAAATGGCATTTATTTTTTAACCCTAGTGGAAAACACAATCATACTGAAACACTTGCAAATATATCTTTTCCTACAAGATTTAATTTGATATTAACATCCAAGAACTGCAAGAAAATTCCTGAACCACGTATTGTAGGTATTGTAGACAGTTTCTAAAAATATTCTCACATAAAACAAGTTATGATATTTGAAAGACAATTTACTTATTTCCTTTACTGGGGATGTTAATATCATGACATTAATGATATTTTATCAACAACTGTTAATAAAATTACCAACTAAGGAGGGTGAAATCGAAATAGCCTTAGGAAGCTCACCACCATCTCTCCCTTTTTAGTACCTTAGCAAGATGCTGTCTTGGCAGATCTGAGTTGATTCAACAAAAGAATAATCTGATCCCGGCTGCTAGATTCTGAAGATGTTCCCTTTCAAAAGGCCATTCCTCCATCAAAAAAAATCCCAGTTAGTGTCATTCTGTTATTCAAAGTGAGATGGAGAACGGTGGCCCTGGGGTCACCTGGGATCTTGTTAGACTATTCATTAGGCATGCTCAACCACAGCACCCTCCTCCCAACCCTTCGGGATAATGAGCTCAGGGGACTTTGTATACCTTCCATCCTGCCGGTGTTTTTCAAGGAAATTCTATTTCATATTCACAACACCTGGAGCTATTGGTGCCCTACTCAAAAGATATCAACCTAAAGATGAGATAATAGCAAATGATGGAACACATTTGCAGTAGGACCCCCCCACCTTAAAAATAAATAAAAACTATTTGCACATTATAAATAGAGCAATATGAAAAACTACTGGCAGTAATTATGGGGATAGTCATCTTAAACATGTAATACTAGATTTTAATGTCTAAATTGAACAAAGCAGAAAATAACCTCGGTGTAATGACTCCCCACATAAGTTAACAGTAAATTCTGGTCACCTCATTCCTCAACTCAAATGGCTGAACTATGAACTATAGTCATGTACCACATAACAGTCAGTCAACAGCAGATCATATATATGACAGTGGTCCCATAAGATTATAATATCTTTACTGTGCCTTTAATATGCTTAGATATGTTTAGCCATACCAATACTATTGTGTTACAGTTGCCTACAGTATTCAGTACAGTAACATTCTAGGAGCAGTAGGCGCCACCATACAAATACAGCCTCTGTGTGCAGGCTACACCATCTAGGTGTAGGCAAGTGCACTCTGCGATGTTCACGCAATGATAAAACTGCCCAACGACCACGTGTCTCCCTCTTTAAATCAGCCATGGCTGGCACCCTTTTTACTGACAAAGAAAATGGGGAGAAAAGGGAGAGTGGCCAGGACAAAGTCATGATTTTAGAAAAATAATCCAACAAGGCGCAGCAAACACATGCAGTTACACACCTTCTCCTGGCAAGTGTGTGAACACTCTCCACTTTTTCAGAGTTCTGGTCACTCTTCTTCTTTGCTCTATTTCCAAGTGTACCTCTTTGGCATTTTAGTCCAACATACAGTAACATACTTCCTTTTGACTACCAAACTGATTTCCATATTTCCCATTTTCTCTCTTATATTAGTGACTGTAATTTTTTTTTTTGAGACGGAGTTTCGCTCTTGTTACCCAGGCTGGAGTGCAATGGCGCGATCTCGGCTCACCGCAACCTCCGCCTCCTGGGTTCAGGCAATTCTCCTGCCTCAGCCTCCTGAGTGGCTGGGATTACAGGCACGCACCACCATGCCCAGCTAATTTTTTGTATTTTTAGTAGAGACGGGGTTTCACCATGTTGACCAGGATGGTCTTGATCTCTTGACCTCGTGATCCACCTGCCTCGGCCTCCCAAAGTGCTGGGATTACAGGCTTGAGCCACCACGCCCGGCGACTGTAATTTTTTAATAGTTTTCTATCTCCCAAAGTGGCAATATTCCATGTTTCTTGTACCATACGTGCATAAGACCTCGGCCTGCAGCCAGAATGCTACTTTCAAGGTAAAAAGTCACCTCACCGTCCAGTTATCAATCCGAAGAGCAGGCAACTCTTCGCACAGGTCTGGTACTGAATCAAGACGGGCATTAAAAAGAAGAAATCCGGGCCGGGCGCGGTGGCTCAAGCCTGTAATCCCAGCACTTTGGGAGGCCGAGGCGGGTGGATCACGAGGTCAAGAGATCGAGACCATCCTGGTCAACATGGTGAAACCCCGTCTCTACTAAAAATACAAAAAATTAGCTGGGCATGGTGGCGCGTGCCTGTAATCCCAGCTACTCAGGAGGCTGAGGCAGGAGAATTGCCTGAACCCAGGAGGCGGAGGTTGCGGTGAGCCGAGATCGCGCCATTGCACTCCAGCCTGGGTAACATGAGTGAAACTCCGTCTCAAAAAAAAAAAAAGAAGAAATCCCTGTAACCTTCTCACCACCTGTGACTTCCCACTCCGTCCCCAAACTCCTTCCTCATGGACACAAGAGGCACCAAACCAGCGGCAAGAGTTCAGGTGACTGATGTCTCTGAGGCCAAGGCCCATGTCCACAGCTGGGGGAATAGTTTCTGAGGGCAGCACCCACACCCAGGGCTCAGGGGGACGGTCTCTGAGGGCAGTGCCCATGCCCAGGGCTGAGGGGACGCTCTCTGAGGGCGGTGCCCATGCCCAGGGCTCAGGGGGATGCTCTCTGAGGGCGGTGCCCATGCCCAGGGCTCAGGGGGATGCTCTCTGAGGGCGGTGCCCATGCCCAGAGCTGAGGGGTCGCTCTCTGAGGGCGGTGCCCATGCCCAGGGCTCAGGGGGAGCCTGAGGGCAGTGCCCGCGCCCGGGGGTGGGGGACGCCGAGAGTGGCGCCCGCGCGCGGGGCTGGGATTTCCCTCTGACGTGGACAGGAAGGACGGGCGTCCCCGCGGTAGGGAGAGGGGTGGCCCGGGGCCCCCGGTTCCGTCCGGTCCGATCAGAGGCAGCGCTGCCCGCGCTCCGGCCGGCCACCTCCTTAGACGAGCGGAGGCCGGGACCCCGACCCGCCCAGGAGGGGCTTCCGGCCCGATCATTGCGACCTCCCAGCCCTGCTCCGAACCCAATCCCGGATCTGCACCGCAACTCTCACCTGGGCTCCCGGACCCGCCGTTTCCCGCGCTCGGACCAGATTCAAACGCACCCGCCGGCGCCCCAGACGCGCCCCGCCCTCCCGGTCGTCATCAAGCGCCGCTCTCGCGAGAGCTGGACGCCGCCAGCCTCGGGCCCCGCCCCGCGGCCGCTCCGCCCCGCCTCCAGGCCGCGCCCCGCCCACACGCCCGGCCGGCCCTCCTCCCGCCTATGCCCCGCCTCTTGGGGTGCGGCCTCGGCCGCTTAGCCCAGTGCGCGGTCGCGCACAGCGGAACGCGCACGCGCGGCGCCACAGCTGGGCCCCATGCGCACTGCGCGCGCCGACGAAAACTGCGCGCTCGTGCGCGTCCTGAGGCCTCCGCGGAGGGCGCGCGGGGCCCAGGAGAGGGCGGGGCGGGGCGGGGCCCAGGAGAGGGCGGGGCGGGGCGGGGCTGGAGGAAGGAGGAAGGAGAGGAAGGGAGGGACGGGGACCGGAGGGAGAGAAGGTTCGCGGCCGGATCCCCGGGAGGACCCCACCCCGGCCTGGCCCCTGTGACCGCCCTCCCTGCCGAGGGGACACCTGTCCGGGCGGTCCGCAGCCCGCACCCGCTAGGTGCGCAGGCGGCAGTGCGTCCGCAGATGCGCACTGGGCAGGCGCTTCCCCGCAGGCCCCGCCCCCTCCGGAAGGTGCAGCCCCAGCAGGTGCGGCCCCCAGCAGGTCAGCTGCCCATAGGGTGGAGAGGGAGAGGACTCGTCGGCGACCCTCGAAGGCGCCCAGCTGTGAAGGAGTAGTAGCAATATCATGTAGTTCTTTGGACTTCAATGCCAAAATCACATACTGATCTAGCAAATCTTTTACTTTGTGTCGCCGAATAACTTGATTGGGCATTCCGAATTTTTATTGAAAGCAAATTCTTAGAAAACGGTTCTCTTTACCACCGTGCTCTCCATTCCTCTGTGGGGACTTGGCCTTCCCTGCAGCTATGTTCTTTCATGCTTGAGATGTCTAGAGTGGTATCTGTTTTCCTGGCTGAACTCAAACCAGAGGTCTCGGCGAGATTGAAGCCGCTGCCACTGTGGGAGCACAGCACCACCCAATAGGAACATCATGGGAGCCACAAGTGCAATCGTAAATTTCTAGTGAGCACATTAGAAAAATAAAAATAAATCGGTGACATTAATATTTAAATGTGTTTTAGTTAGCCTAGTATATCAAAAATGTTTATATTGCTGCTGGAATATCATTTCAACAAGTAATATAAAATTATAGCAGGTAAAGGACTGGTTTACTAGGAAGCTTGCAACAGTGAAGCAAGGCAGGCTGCAGAGGGGAGAGGAGACCCACTCAGAGCCTGCTGAATCCGGGACACTTGTCAACAAGTGGCTGATATCTAGCATCACCTATTTCATCCTCGGGCTGCAGCCACCTCTGACCTCCTCCTCTGCCCATACATGGACATCTCCTTCCCTGCAGTTCCTTGAATTTTGGGCGCCCCCCCCCGCCACCTTCTCACTGCATTCTTCTCAGCAATTTCCTTCACATCCAAAGTGCAAACTGCCACCTTCGAGCAGTAACCTCTGCATCAGCATTTGTAGGACACGGTTATTTCTGAACTCCAAAATTTTCTTTTTCTTTTTTTTTCTATATAAATTGAATGCCAGAATTTTCAACAGCTCACTGCCTTCTCCCACGCTGATGCTGACATGCATCCCGAACGGAAATCAATTTCCCCTCCCACCCCTGAATCCTGCCCCTTTCCTTATGCTTGTCTCTCCTCCAGCCGTCTGTTTGTTCCTGGTGGTTCTGCTTCTGAATAGGAATAACGTCTCAAGTTACGCATATGAGCTCTGAAGCTGCACCACCTGGGCTAACCTGGTTCTGTGCTCACTAGCTGGTGACCTTCGACAGGCCATGGATAACAGCCTGTTTCCTCATCTATCAAAGGGGACCTACTTAAGTACTGAGCCTCCTCTAGGGAGTTGTTATGAGGCCTAAACGTCTGCGTAGTGCAGTGCTCACAGCTGCCGCCTCCATACGAAGCTGTGCCTCGACCAGAGGTACCACAAATGGCTTCCACTGTGGGCACCAGCATCTGGACAAGGGGAATATGGTGGTGCCCGAAAGCTCAGAGATGCCAGGAACCACAGAGCCCCAAAGGGGATCACAGTGTGTCACAGCCTGTGAGGTCTGGGCTCCCAGAAGGGTCACAGGTCTTCTCTCCTCATCACCCACAGCATGGTGAGCAGGGGGTCATGTTTCTGGGGCAGCGTGTTACAGCTCATTTGTGTTACAGCTCTTTTGGCCCCGCTGCCCCACTCCAGTCCATGGCTCCTAGGCTGGCCTGGCCCCACTGCTGTTTCCCGTTGCATGGGGTGGCGCTGAGCACCAACACAGATACCGTTATAGCTCTGGCTTGAGAAATGCCAAGGTCTGGGCCCCTAGAAGGCTCATCATTCTTCACTTCCTCAGTCAGGTAGCTGTCACCACCTGCAGCCTGGTGAGCTGGCCAGGAACATGTTACAGCCGCTTTAACTCCCACCTGCAGCTCCACAAGCTGTCCAGGAAAGTATTCCAGCTCCGTTTGCTCCCACCATTCCGCAGGTTCCAAGTTGTTGTTCCACATCCAGGAAGAATGAGGTTAGGCACACAACTGGCGGGTGAGCAAGGAAGAGCTGGCCAAACAGCTATCAGCAGAGAGAAGACTCGAAGCGGGTAGCTCCTACCCAAAGGCAGGTAGTCCCAACCAGTGTCCTGAGTCTGGTTGTCTGGGGGTTTTATGGGCTCAAAAAGGAAGAAGTGCATGTTGATTGGTCCGTGGACAGGAGGAAATGCATGCTGATTGGCCCATGGGCAGGCCTGGGAAAATCACCGCTTGATTGGCTGAAAGGCATCAAAGAAGTTCTCTCTCTGGATCTCGGACTTCACCAGCAACTGGCAGCCTGGCCCACAAGCTTCAGGCCATCCTTGGCTTGAAGGTGGAGTTTCACCAGGGACCTGCCCCTTCCTGCCTAGGAACCTGTATGCCTCCTGCTGCCATCACTACTCACTGGGAATGTGCCTTTCCCAGCAAATAAGCCACACTCCTCCAGAACTCAGCTCAAGCTTTGCCTTCTGTAGTGGTTTATTTTCTAAACCCCATGGCCTTCACTGTAGCGCGATCTCTTAGCTCCCTATCATCACAGCTCTCCTTAACTCCTCCATGTCAAGGGCTGTGTCATCCTTGGTCCTACATCCATGACATAAGGCCTGGCACATTTTAGATGCTTGAAGAAAATATTTTCTGAATAAATGAATGAATGAGGCATGAGATCATCTGTGTTCTTAAAACCTTACAATAGGCTGAGTGCGGTGGCTCACGTCTGTAATCCCAGCACTTTGGGAGGCCGAGGTGGGCAGATCACCTGAAGTCCGGAGTTTGAGACCAGCCTGACCAACATGGAGAAAACCTGTCTCTACTAAAAATACAAAATTAGGCCGGGCGCGGTGGCTCAAGCCTGTAATCCCAGCACTTTGGGAGGCCGAGGCGGGTGGATCACGAGGTCAAGAGATCGAGACCATCCTGGTCAACATGGTGAAACCCCGTCTCTACTAAAAATACAAAAAATTACCTGGGCATGGTGGCATGTGCCTGTAATCCCAGCTACTCAGGAGGCTGAGGCAGGAGAATTGCCTGAACCCAGGAAACGGAGGTTGCGGTGAGCCGAGATCGCGCCATTGCACTCCAGCCTGGGTAACAAGAGCGAAACTCCATCTCAAAAAAAAAACAAAAAACCTTACAATGTGGTTAATGAGAAAAAGGTTTATAGAATTAAAGTTCAACCAAATGGAAAAGCAATATAAAACTAAGTCTCAAAGTGTATAAAACTTGGCAAAAACATCTTTGATAAAAATGTATCTTTCTTTTTTTTTTTTTTTTTTTTTTTTTTTGGGATGGAGTTTCGCTCTTGTTACCCAGGCTGGAGTGCAATGGCGCGATCTCGGCTCACCGCAACCTCCGCCTCCTGGGTTCAGGCAATTCTCCTGCCTCAGCCTCCTGAGTAGCTGGGATTACAGGCACACGCCACCATGCCCAGCTAATTTTTTGTAATTTTAGTAGAGACGGGGTTTCACCATGTTGACCAGGATGGTCTCGATATCTTGACCTCGTGATCCACCCGCCTCGGCCTCCCAAAGTGCTGGGATTACAGGCTTGAGCCACCGTGCCCGGCCAAAAAATGCA